CCATACCATAAGCAAATTTTTGAAGCTGTTTAACCATCAGAAGAAAAGACTCAGGGGGAGTCTGATGATAAGAGCTTACAAAAATTTCTTGAGAGAGAGAGAGAGAGATTAAACTTATTCTGCTTAGCTATAAGGAAAAAAAACTTCAACTCTATGTAAGGAAAAACTTCTTAGCAATGAGACATTTTCAAGGTAGAATAGGCAATATTATTATTATTATTATTATTATTATTTATTATTATTAGGCTAGGCAATGGGATTAAGTGACTTGCCCAGGGTCACACAGCTAGTAAATGTTATATATGTGAGGCCGGATTTGAACTCAGGTCCTCCTGAATCCAGGGCCGGTGCTCTATCCACTGTGCCACCTAGCTGCCCCAGAACAGGCTATCTCAGAGCGGAATGAACTCTGTCACTAGAGGTTAGCACAGAGACTAATGACCTCTTTGAATTAAGCAAAGGCTAGATTATCACTTATTGGGCATGTTGGAAGATGAATTCATGATTTGGGCCAGGTATGGCCTAGATGACCTTTGAATTTCCTTTAAACTCTGAAATACAAGGCAAAGGAAGCAGTCTTTCATCCTGTTTCTACAAGCAACAAACTGCTACTTCCAATGCCAATCAGATGCTTGGAAGGCTACTGGGCTGGTCTCTGTTATCCTCTCAGAACTAGTTACACTAGGAATCCTGACTACAGTCTGAGAAAGACCTACTCAAACCAAGAGATTTGTATATTATTTTTTTAAAAAGACAGTACCAGAAAGACAATACAGAGAAGCAGGTTTAATTAGATATACCATGTAGTCTCCCACTAGGACTGTACCTCTAGATGACTTTGACTGTTCATGTGTTACATCTCTTTAAAGCAACATAACACAACAACAATAACATTTCAAAATCAGTTATTTCAGTTGTTTCTGACTCTTTGTGACCCCATTTTGGCTTTTCTTGGAAAAGATACTGGAGTGGTTTGCAATTTCCTTCTTTAGGGCATTTTACAGAAGAAGAAATTGAGGTAATCTGGGCTATGTGACTTGACCAGGGTTACAGCTAGTGTCTGAGGCCAGATTTGAACTCATGGAAATGAATTTTCTTGATCCCAAGCATAATGCTCTATCCGCTGTACCACCTAACTGCCCTCTACAAACATTACTTATACATAAAATATTCTCCTTCCCCCAAGGAGTCACCTAGGAAAACCATACAATTATTTGATTCTGTCACTGCTTAAGATATTTGCAGAACTTATGATTAACTCTAAAGAATATAGCATATTCTTTTGAATATCCTTCTATCATTCTAATGCACAGGTCTGACCATTTAACTCCCCACTCAAGAATCTTCAATAGCTCCCTGTGACTTCTAGGAAAACACAACAAAATAAATTCTTTAGTCTGGTATCTGAAGCTCGTCACAATCTGGGGTCCACATTTAACTTCATATTACTCTTCTTCAGTCCTTCTATGTTCCAGTCAAACTGGTCTTCTTGCTGTAACCTGAACTTGGTTCCCTTTTCAACATCTGCCTCCATGTCTGGAATCTAGTCCCTCCTCACCTCTGCTTCCTAAAATCCTTAGCTTCCCTCAAGGCTCAGCTCAGGTGTTCCTTCCTATGGTTAAGCCTTTCCCAACTCTCCTGAATTGTGAGTTTTTTCTTCCTCCTCAAATCATATCGAATTTCCTTATCTGTTTGTATGTTATATTCCCAAGAAATGTGAGCTCCTGAGGGTCAGGGACATTTTTTTAATTGTTGTTTTTGCCTTTCTATCCCTAGTGCCTTGGACATAGTAGGCACACAATTAAAAGTCTGTTGAATAACAGAATTGAAACAATAAGAGAAAAATTATTATCCTCTGAGAGTGGATTCAATTTTTAGAAGCAGCTAAAAGTCAGTTAGAAAAATATCTAACATAAAATATGATGCTCAAGCTGTGGAATACTAAGGTGGCTAGCTATGCACAGTGGGAAGGCAGCTGTGATGTAGTACAAAGGACATTAGATGCAAAATCATAAGACATAGATTCAAATCCTGATTCCACCATTTATTAGCTATGGGAGTAATGTTATACTGCCTGCTTCACAGGGTTGTTGTGAAGAAAGTGCTCTTCAATATTGTTATTGGTTTCTAGTTTCTTTCTTTAAGACTGGAAGGTACACAGAATCCTTATTGTTTCTGGTTTTTGCTTGCTAGGCTAAGCAGTTTACATTTGATCCTAGAGTGGATAGAGGACCATTGAGGACTTCTGAGCAGGAGAGTAACATGGCCAGAGCTGTGAATTAGGAAGATTACCTTGGCAGTTGTATGACGGATGGGATAATGTAATAAGGAAGAAGCTAGAGGCAGAAAGAATAGTTAGGATATTTGGATAATCCAGGTGAGAGGTGATGAGGCATTGAACCATGGCAGTGGTAGTGCAAGTAAACAAGAGAGACATGTGGAGGCAAGCGACTAAATATCAAATAATCAGTATTTATTAAGTGTCCATGTGCCAGGCACTGAGAATTGAAAGATAAAATTCCAATCATCCCTGACCTTAGGGAGTTTACCTTGTATTAGGAGAAGTAACATACAGAAGAGAGAAGTTTATGCAAAATATATGCAGAGTAAATTCAGAGTAATTTTGGGGGAGGGAGAGCGGCACTAAGAAGACTGAAATAGAAGGAAGAATGAAACATGACCAAGGTTGGTGTTATCAACAGGAATAAGAAAGTTAAATTCAGAGAGGCTAGTTTGGGAGGGGGGAAGGAAATAATGAGTTTATTTTGGGACATAAGGAGTACATTTAAGTGGAGATGTTCAGGAGGCAAATGCCAATGAGGAACTTTGATTCAGGGTCAATGGAAGGGCTATTGTTGTTGTTTTAGTGACAGAGAAACCAGAGCACTTTCTCAGGGTAGAAAGAAGTCTCCACCTGACAGGAAAACATTACTGAAGCAAAGTCATGAAGGAGATGGGAAGGAATGGGATTAGAGAAATGTGGAAAGGCTAGATCTGGGAAAGAAAATCACCTCATCCTCTGCAACTGTAGGAAAAGTGGAGGAGATGAGTTTGCATAATCAGGAAAGGACAGATAATCCTGAAAAGATGAGGGCTGCAAAGCAGAGGCCCTAGAATGTTAAAATGAGGACTCTTTGCTTTATTCTATAAGCAATGGGGGCACCACTGAAGATCCTTGAACAGAGGAATGTCAGGATTGTAACTGACTGAGGAAGATGAAAGATACTTCACGTTAACAATGAGTGACTCAGGCTTTCCAAGAGAGTAGAATTTGGAATTTCCAGGGAATTTAGACTTTATTTGACAGCTAAGTGACATTCAGAAATCTTTTTACTTATTTAGCATAATATTTCTGCTGATTAGGGTGCATGGGGATGAAAAATCAAATATTCATTATAGATGTTCACATCTCCACACCTTTAATTTTCACATCACGTAAATATTAATTCAGTCATGGGAATTAAACTCCAAGGTGCTCAACTCCAAATCAACTCCCTAAATATTTTAAGGCTATTTGTTGCCTTTAAGTCTGTCTATTATTCTGATACAATTTAAAGTTTATAAAAAAGAGTGATTTACTTAAAGAAGGCTCAGAATTTTTTAAAAGCTCCTTGATATGAAATATGCTTATATGTCAATATGTAAAAGGTTGAGAGAGAGGCAGTGAATAGAGAAGGCTGGTTCTGAAATCAGGTAAGAGCTACAATCAAGTCCTGCCTCTGACATGTATGGGCTGTGTGACCCTGGGCAAGTAACTTAACATCTGAGTGCTCAAGGTAATGCTCAAGATAGTTACACAACAGATGCATTGGTAGGAGCTTCTTTAGATGGAATTCCTTATACCAATGAAATCAATCTCAGTCCCCCTTTCCCTCACTAAAAAGGAGACAGGACAGGGCTTATAATGACTCATATAATACTTAAATTCAAGGTAGCTTGATGTATTCTAAAGAGATAAATGCATGATCCTGGGCAAGTCCGTTCACTTCTGAATCCCAGTTTCCTCATCTGTAAAAGGGGGATAAGAAGAGTCTTTAAATCATAGGTTTACTGTTAGGTTTAAATGAAATAGTATATATAATCATTTTGCAAACCTTGAAGTGCTACGTGAGTGTAAGCTATTATTCATTCAATCACTTAATCATCCCCCAAATATTCATTAAGCTATTACTATTTGTTATAGCCCTGTGCTAAGCACCAGGGATACAAAGAAAGTTAAAAGCATGTCCGTGCATTTTAATGGAGGCGAAAGTGTGCAAAAATTGTTTGTAGAATATGAATGTCATTAATTATTATTATCAGATGAATGAATGACAAAGCATTTATTTAGCACTTACTACGTACCTTACACTGTGCTAGGTACTGCTATTGTTATTGTTGTTGTCACTGTTACTACTGCTGTTATTATTAAAAGGATGCAGCTTTTCCAAATCAAAGATAATCACAAACAAAATAAAGAGGCTGAACTTTGGCATTGCCATTTCAGAATGAAAATTATGGAGTTTAAAGTTCTTGCAGTAGCTTGGGGGAGACGTATCCATGGGAGGCAATACTACAAACAGTTTTACAAAGGAAACATCACAGGGATACGGAAAGTATCTTTGGACAGAAATGGGTTCCTGAGGGGTGTTCAATAAACACTGCTAATCTCATTCTCTACTCCAATATGCATGCTCAACCCTGTCCCAAATTGTTTACACAGTGGCTCATCTACAGCTGGGGCCTAATAAAATAGGACTGAACAGAATAGAGTTTAACTGATTTTATTTTATAGAAGGAAAACGAAAATTCTTTGGATGCTTCATTCAGCATTGCACAACAAGACTTTATAAAGTCCCTATTATGTGCAAACCTAAGAAGGGCCTGGGCAAACTTTCGAGGGGCCATTTGTAAATCACACAGTGTATGTAACACCACCTATAACTCCATCAGCAATAAGTCACTGGGAACAAAATGCCTACACAGTACAGATCAAATGAGTGAAACAATTCTCAGATTACCTGATGTATAAACACATCCCTATAGAGCAGTCATCATCCAGGCAGCCGGCTTTCTTCTAGGGAGATGGATTATCATTGAGTTAATCTCAGTGTACCACGAGACAGCTGACCTAGTTTTCTTTAATACCATTACGCACATAGCTTAGCCAGTCACAATATTTTGCAGATTGAAAAACGTATCTAGTGCTCTCCAAACTCATTTTATTATTATCTCTTCATTTGAAATGACACAAAATGGCCATTAAAATAAAACAAAAAGTCAAAGCAATCTGTGGTTGATGCACTTGGGTGAGGCTACCAGTCTGCATGCTGCATAGAGAGAAATATATCTTTCTTTTTTTTTAATGCTGAAATGTAATATAGGGTATTATCTACACTTCAGCTTTAGTTTGAACCGACCCTACAGTTACAGGGGCCTTAAATGTACTAGTACTATTGAAGCAATTAAGGATTCCTCTTGAGTATGCCATGAAATTGACATACAGTCTTTCTTGATATCTGTTTTTTAAAAGACTTTCCATTTCAGAGACTTAACAGGGTTTTCTCACCGTTTTCAAAGCAACAAAGACTTCTAAAATGCCTTCTTCCTACTTGTCTTCTTTTCCAACAGTAAGTAAAACACTCTATGTCCACTTTGTCTGCCATGGCAGAGAGAGGGTTGGCCTCGGAGTCAGAAAGATGTGTTCAAGTTTCACCTCTGACCCACACTACCTGTGTGACTATAGGGAAGTCACTTACTGTCTTTCTGCCCCAGGCATAGTCTCCAAGACAATGAGAACTCTTACAACAAAAGTTCCCCACATGAAAGAAATAAACTCAAAATAGTACATAAATGATAAAGTGACATGGCTCCAAGGAGCTTTTCAGATTATCTGGTTAGTCTAAGATGCCTCCATTTATTTATTTCAGTTTCTGTTTAGTGATCAGTGACTGCTTTCTTTAAATTTTATTTATGGATATTTAAAAACATCATAATAATGTCCTTATACTCTCCCTCCACAGAGAATACTTATTTCTTTACAGCAAAAAAAAAAAATCCTTAAGGAGAATAACAGACACAGTAACCACATCTGCATGAGACATTCTACAGCTATATTGTTCCACCTCCCTACCTTTCTATAGAAAGGCTTTTACCCAGTTTAAAAAAAAAAGAATTTTCAGAAGTTCTTTGATATTATAATGAAGGTCTTTGTGAAGGGTCTTTTGGTAGGGAGCAAAAGAATCTCTCATTTTTGGATCTTTGGAAGTACACTTTTATTTACTCCTCCTCCCTCTCTCTTCAATCCATCCAGTAGGAAACAGTGAGGTACCTTGCGTGAGTAACTGAAGGTTCCTGACTTCTTCTCGAACCTTCAGCTGAAGCACCTGCTGCAAGATGTGCTGTCGGAGATTCTCCTGGGCGATCCCCATTCGTTCCAGCTTTTTGTCAGTGAGTCTCAGCAGTGCCCGTCCTGGAGTGTTGGGAAAAAGAAAATAAACAATAATTACTGAAAGATCTTCACGAACATCTACTTATTACTTCTGATTACCACGTGAGTAATCCAGGACCTGGATTTTGGGTTTTGCTAGAAAAGAAATCCTCATGTCATAAAGGAAATATAAAATAAAGCTATCTCTATTACGCATGGAGAGAGAAGAATAGGAAGCCTGGATGATGGAAAGCTATGTTTTTTTAAATGATTTTTATTGATAGCTTTCTGCTTATTCATCACCAAAATTCCTCTAAGCATTCCTTCCCTTCTTCCTTCCCATAGAGCTATCCCATCCAACAAAGAGAGAAATAAATAGGCAAAATCAATAAATATATGAAAAAGCATGAGAATATATGCAATATTCCACACTCACGGACCTCCCACCTCTGCAAAGGAGTGGGATGCTACACTCTTTTCACATCTGTTCTTTGGTGACATGCTTATTATTTGTAATTTTGCAATATTAATTGTTGATTGTAGTTGGTTCTTTCCAGTTACATTGTTGTATTTATTGGGCATACTGTTTTCTTGACTCTGTTTACTATACTCTGCATCAGTTCACATAAGTCTTTCCATGCTTCTCTGTCTTCGTCATATTTTCTATTTTTCATACCACAGTGATATTCCATTACACGCATGTACCACATTTTGTTTAGCTATTCCCCAATCTATGGGTATCTTCTTTGCCATCACAAAATAAATTTTTTGGTGTATATGTAGACTACACTCTAATCAATTACCTCTTTTGAGTATAAGCTTAGTAACAGAATTTCTGGTTTAATGGGCATGGGCATTTTAGTTACTTTATTTACATAATTCCAAATTGCATTCCAAAGTGGTCATACTAATTCATAGCATACCAAATATGCACTAGGGTGCCTATTTTCCCACAACTCCTGTAACACTTACCTACTGCAAAGCTACAGAAAAGTAACAAAACAATGATACCTTCTGTCAGTCAAACTCCAGCTTATGACAAAGAGAAAGAATAAACCAAAAATAAGATACAATAGTTTGTATAATATCCTATCCTATTAGCTCCCTATTCCTCTGTTTGGGAGGAAGAGATATATTTTATTATTTAGTCAGAGTATGACTTCCTTTTAATCTTTTAATTCATATTGCAAAAGTCATTTTATATATTGTTCTTTTGGTTCTGCTTATGTGATTCTTTACCAATTCATCTTCCCAGGTTGCTTATAACTTTTTCTATCATACACTAATAGTTCATCACATTCATATACTGTAGTTTGTTTTGCCATTCCCCAATGGATGGGCACCTACTTTGTTTCCAGTTTTTCAAAACCAAAAACAATGCTGCTGACTTCCTGGTTACATGAACAACAAAATGGTGGATTAAACATTTTCTCTGATCTCCACAATCTCACATTTCTCCAAAATAGAAATTATGCACCAAAGGTAAAGCAACTTCATCTGTTTCAATGGCCTGGGACCCTCAAAATCCAAGGGAAGGCAAAAAAAATTTCCCTCAAACCTAGGAATTGATGCTAATTAACCCTAAGCTCATTCAGAACCCCCCCACACACACTATCAGCATCAAGACTGTACTAGCAGACCTAACAGATTTACATTAAGACTCACTTCTGTGCCTTGTTCCCCCCTTCTTCTTTCCAGTGCCAGAGAGACCCTGCAGAAGTGTGCCCAGGCCTCGACAGCTAGGTTGGCCAAAATACTTCAAGGCCAAAAGCTGTATCCTAGGGAAAGGCAGGCTCTGCTAGTTCTGGGCCAGAGAACTGAGGAAAAAAGGAAGTGGGAGAGGTCACCAGCACAGGATTATCGTGCATGTGGGGAGCTACGGAGCACTCTATCATGCCTGAGGGAAAAAGCACAGCATCCAGAGGGGACCAGTTCTGACCACTCAAAAATCACTTGGGACAGAGATGTAGGCTGGTGAATCAGAAATTCCTATTATGGGAGGAGGCTGTGAGATTTACCCAGAAAACCATAATCAGAAGGGAGGGAGTCAGGAAGGGAGTGATTAAAGGGAAAGGGGTGTGTGTGGGGGAACTGGAAGCATCAAAAATTTCAGGAAGAAGAAAACTAAAAGTCCTAAACATACACAGATCAATCAATAGGAAAAACAATAACAACAGAAAGAAACATAGACTTCAGATCTAGCAATTGAGTTCAGGCATCTATGAAAAAATGCTGCAAAAAAAGGAGAGGAGGGAATGATCTAACATGAGACAGAGAACCCTGTGGAACATGCAATCACAATACACTATTCTTGAGTGCCTTAAAAAAAATGAGAATTTTGAGTGCAGAATTGATGTCCTTCACAACGACATTAATGAGCAGACAGACAAACTGCAATGGCAAGCCTCACCAAGGAAACAGGAGAGAGAACAATAGATTGGGAATGTAAATACACAGAACTAAAGGGCAACCTAGAATAAGGGAAGCAACACACAATAACATTAAAAGAAAATATCCTCACTATGCAAGCAAAATGTACTGAACTTGACAGGAAGGATCATCAGTCTCCCAGAAAAACATGACAGGCAAAACCACCATAATGTAGCAAATAACAGGAAAAGAAAACCTGCCCAAATTGCTAAACATGAAAAACGACATTGCAGTCGAAAGAATTTACAGATCATCTCCAGAATAAAACCCAAGGTTGCGACTCTAAGACACACAGTGGTTAAATTTAACAATTCAATTCAGAAACAATAAGTTCTGAAAGTCATCAGGAGGTGGACCTCCAAATATAAAGGAAGGGAGATTTTAATAGTGGAAGACTATTCTATGCCCACCAAAGAAAAGGAAGAGGGGATGATATGTGTTCTGAAGAGCAGTGGTACTCAGGGTGATCTATCCTGCAATTCTGAGCTTAACCACATAGGACAAAAGATGGACATTCAATAATAGTGAAGATTTTGAAACATTTTTTAGAAAGAAAGCCCGAATGGTGAGATTATTTGCCTCTCAAATACCCCAAATAACAGAAACACAAGAGGTATGAATAAATGTAGACAGCAACAGAGTGACAACAGAAAGACTAGTAAGAGACTTCTTTCTAAATGTACACAAGTATCCTGGGGTGAAGATGGAAATCCGGTAGAGGTAATGGAGAAGAGGCAAGCAGTACTATGGGACAGTACTAAGGGAACTATGGACGGAACTTGGCAGCACCCTGCCTACAGATGAATGCTTCTTTTGTGGGACTTCCTTTAGAACACTGGCAAGTGCAAAAAAGGGGAGGAAGGGAATAGAGAGGAGTAAGTGATATACTAAGGTCAAATCAAAGGCTAGCAATGAGGGGAGAGTGACCTCTTCAGTCTTAGAAAGAGAAGGCCCTACAGGGGGCAGAGGGTGAGAAAGAAAGGAAAAAGTTTGAAAAGGAGAGGGAAAGGAAGGAGACCTTACTTTGGAGGTGGGAAGGAGCACCACTCATGAATGTTCCTATGAGTAAAGAGAGATGGGTGAGGAAAATGAGACCATATGCTGGATTAAGCCTAGAGGATTTAGGACTTGAAAAATATACTTGTCCTGAGGTGGGGGAGTTGGAATCTCTTGGGGTAACTGGCACCTGGAGGAATGAGAGGGCATAAACACAGGGAGGAGATTTCCAGGCAAATGTAGAAAAAAAGGTCAACACGGGAGGGTATAGATCAGTGGTGGGCTGTATAAACAGGGATGTGGTGGGCTGCATAATCAGGGATATGGTGGGCAAGGGCCTTACCTTGAAGAAGTCCTAATTGGCACAGTGGATAGAGTACTTGGCTTGGAGTCGGGACGAAACAAGTTCAAATCTAGCTTCAGACACTATAGTTGTATGACCCTGGGCAAGCCACTTAATCTCTGTTTACCTGAGTTTCCTTATCTATAAATTGGGGATAAAAATAGCATTTCCCTTCCACAGCTGTTGCAAGGCTCAAATGAGATAAGAAGTGTAAATGATGTGTGTAATGAATATCTAGGAGTATGGAAAAATCTATATGAACTAATGCAGAGTAAAGTAAGCAGAGCCCAGAAAATTGTGAGTATGTGTGTGTGTGTGTGTGTGTGTGTGTGTGTGTGTGTGTATATGTAGTAACTACAATAATAAAAAAATGACTCATCAAAAAATAAAAAGCAAATGTTACAAAATTATAAAGATCAAGTAGGGATTAACTGATGAGATATGAGAAGACACTCCCAACCTACTCCTTCGTGGAGGTTAGAGGTCTACAGGTGTTACACATTGATAAATTGTGAAAGTCTTAAAAACGTGCAATTAGCTGTGCTGACTACCCCTTCCCCTTTTTTTCCTCTCCAAAAGTATTATTTGTCTCACACAAAATGGCTCTTTCGGAGAGGGAAAGGGATACTCTGCCAATATAAGAAACAGAAAATATCAATGAAAATTTATATCTTAAAATGCTGCTACAAATATTTGACCCTGCGATTCTGTTTTTTACTTCTTTGGGGTGTATGCTACGTCCAAGGGTATAGACAGTTTAGTTATTTTTCTTGCATAATTCCAAATTGATATCTGGAGTGGTTTCATGGCTCCACCAACAGTATATCAACATGCCTGTGAAAACCTCGGATTTTAAAGACAACATTAATTTATCCAATATTATAATCCTCCTTCAATTAAATCTTCGATAATAACCTTTTTTTTGTAAGATCACTCCTGTGAACTCCATATCCCTCCTTGGGCTCTAGTAGATATAGTATGGAACAAAGAACTGGTCAAAGAGCAGGGGACAGAAGGGATCAAGTGGTGCTGTAGATAGTGCTGGACTTATTTAGCACCAGGAGGACTGAGTTTGAATCCTAACTCTTCATTCACTGATTGTGGGTCCCTAGGCAAGTAATTAAGGGCGGCTAGGTGGCACAGTGAATAGAGTGCCAGGCCTGGAGACAGGAAGACTTATCTGCCTGAGTTCAAATCTGGCCTCAAATACATACTAGCAGTGTGACCCTGGGCAAGTCACTTAACTCTGTCTCAACTGCCTCATCTATAAAAT